AAAAAAAAAACGAATTAAGGATTCACAAAGTAATGAGATGAATGATTAAATTTTGTCAAGTTTGTTGACATACGAAAGACTTCTTATTTACTAAAAATAATTGAATAATGTAATAAATATTTTTGTTAAAATGTCTGAGCAAATAGAAAATTTTATAAAATGAGGTTAGAGATTCACAAAGTAATGAAATGAAAAAAATAGTTAAGTTTTCAAAAATCATCACTTACAACTATTGCAATAGTTTAATAAGGTAAATATTTTATTACAGAGCAAAACGTGTCAATATTTTGCAAAATTATGAAATCTGTTATATGTAACTTGCATATTTTGATTGTGAAAACCTTACGATCTTTGAAAATGAGTTCATGGAGCCTATTAATAATGGATAAATTTCTGATGAAAACTAGTTTATTAAAGATTAGTGAATCAAGTTCTACTGAGAAAACGTCTCCTACCTATGCTGCTATTCTGAATTGCAGTACGTCAAACGGTACAATTATTGACAGCAAATCTGAAACTCTGAAAGTTCTCAAGATGATTGTAGCATTGAAAGTATTGCAAAAATATATTGTATATGGAGTATTGTGAGCACGTCTTTACGACGCCAAAAAATGAAAAAAGAAAGAGTTATACTAATGGGGTGTTTGTCTGTTTAGAACCTCAAGCTTGCCCAATACTATTCACACATATAAAGTTTAAGTGTATATTTATATAATATTTCAACGCAATTATTTTAATGGTTGGATCTCTTTCTTTCTCACTCTTAACCGTGGTCCATACCTGACGGATTATCTACGACAGTACCTTACCTGCAAACTTATAATTTACAAGAGCAGCGATCGTGTGCCGTGCAGTGGAACCACGTCATCAAGCGTGAAAGAATCTCTGTAGCGAAGACATCAGAGAACTTGTGCATCATAAGCGCCGGCTAGTCGGAAAATTGCCTCGTCACGTATACACAGATTTCTAACCTACATTTCCATACTCTGTTTCCAACGTAGGTTAAAATTTTATGCATGGCAGCACTGTTTCCCTGACTCCCTGACTATGTAGTTGTAAGTTTCTCCATGCATGCAAAATTGGGTGAGCTCAACGAATTGTCAAGAGCAGCGAACACTTTTTTCTAATACCAACTATTTTAGAAGACTGTTGCCGCAATCTATAATATTAACCAATGTATATTTTATACAATAAGCACGCAGTCGGTTAACAGGACGAATCAACTAATTTTTTCATCAATTAAATTAATAATACGCTTAAGTATGTCTTCCTTTTTTTCTTACGCTTTTTCAAGTATACTGTACTAATCTTAAAATTGAACTAATTTGAGTACGCTAGTAATTCGATTCATTAAAAAAACTATTTATTTGTGCTCTCAACAATAAACCAACTATATTTACTTATAGCACGAAAAACAAATCGATTAAAATTTTTTTCATTTTATCGTTCTTTTTTACTGAATAAACAAAGAAGATTTTTGTATTTATTTACAGAAGACATAATACTGAAATCTTTTCGAGAACGGTAAAAAATTTTAAGTGGCTGTATAGTTGCAATAAAGCCGTTTGCTCTGTTTGTACATACTTAGTACACAAAAAATTGCTAATCCCGTGTAATAAGAATATTTCTACATCTAAAAAAGCTTTTGTGAATGAAGGTTTCAACTGTTGAAAAAATGATATTACGTACGAACTTCTATAAGTAAAGGGCGCAACTCATAGATTCGTTCTACACACAAATAAATTTAATTTTTGTTCGTCACGAACCAGCCATCGCGCGTCAGCCAAAAGGCCTTATTTGCTCTTACTGACAGTAAACTTTTCCTTTAAGGTGGTTCTTTCATGACTCCAAAGTCAAAGGTGCGACTGTCAAGTTGATATTTATTAATGCCGCTTAAATTTTAAATGATTATTTGTTAATACTGTTTATTGAGGCAAATTAAGTACTGATTCAAAATTTTGGATCATAATATACGATATAGAAGTTCGTTGAAATAATTATCTAAAATTCACGCTTTACCTCAAAATACCAGCAGTGGATACTTACCTATGTGCTTTTAACATAGAAAACGAAAAAGTATGCCTGTGTTTATTTTAATATCTTTTGATTAAATCCACGAACACATATATTTCGAGATAGCGGTATATTTGGAATTGCATAAGCTTTATTGTGTTAGCTTTTTACTTAACTACGTTCAGTAAATAAATGACTAGGCTACAACTTCCAGTAAAAAAATGCTTCGTTGCCATAAGAGCACATGTTTCGAATTTAATTTTCATTCATCATTTTCTTGCGTTCATATCTGTCAGCCTACTCTGAAATTTTTAGGGGTAGTGTATTGTAACTCAATAAATGATTCCTTAAGATTTTATGCCATTCCGTTCATAATCATTTTATGAAAGAACCACTTTAAATCGCCTACTCGGCATTACGGCGTTAGGTTTCACCGAGCGGTATAAATGAAGTGGTGTACGCTTAGCTGGCATTGATCTACTGTTTTAGTTTATGTTTTATGTCATAGAGTAGTAGCGTATCTTATTCGTCTTTTTTATCTCACATCTTTGTCAAAGTCTTTGTCATATGTTGTCTATTTAAATTTTCCTTGATATTCAATTGATTCGTCATAGTTAGAGTTACGTTTCTAGGATTTTGAATCTTGGAATATTTCATATAATTCAATAATTGAAATATTTTAATTGAGAAAATAAATTTTAATCAATAACTAAGTTATGTCTTATCTGATGATTTAATAAATTTAGAAAAGCCGAAAATAATTGATTTTACAAATAATATAAATCATTAAGTTCAGATTCACATTTACAATGTTTATACATTTTGTAGTTTTTCTTAACCTAATTTACTTCTACAATCGTTGGTAAGCCACTGCTTGTCCGCACGCAGTCACAAGATCTTACAAGGTTGAGCGCAACGATGATCCTAATCCTACACGAGAGTACTCGTGGCGATGATAATAATTAGGCTACTGCTTTTGACGTCGGAAACCAAGTCGACAGTTTTTTCTTTCATGTTTCTCCTTGATTCACTTTTTAGGCGAGTTTACAGTGGCCTGGTTTACTCGAGATTTTCTAACACAGCTTAGTCACTGAATTAAGTCTACATTTGCTTGAAATGCACGCTTCTAACACATAGCTTAATCAACGAACTAAGTCTTACATCCACTTAAAAGACGCAACGGAACTCACTCTCCAACCTTCACAGTTACTTTGGAGCACTCGATGAAAAAGAAAAGGCGAATATCGTTACGTGCGAGGAGTTTTTATACTCTTGCACTTAAGGAGGACACGTTAGGTTGGAGATCCGAACGACTAATCTGAGATTAACCTAATTACTCTCGATTGACACGAGTACAGTCGAGGTGCAATAATTACACAGTAATTAATGGTTAAAACTGCTGATCCCTCGGATTTTACTGTAAGTACAAGTTGCTGTCGAAATTGTGTATGATATTTCTTGTGAACATACACAGTAGAGAAAGTTTAAATTGTTGATTATTCACATTCTTGGATGTACTACTGCGAATTGATGTCATAAGATGAACGCTTTTTAAGAATGTTGGAATTTGCACTCGTAGTTCGAGTTTTGCGACGGTAGCTTGTTTCGAAAGAAGTGAGTTATGTTACGCGATCGCAGAAGCAGGTGTACCATTTGATATTATATCGTTCAAAAAGCACGAAAAGTCAGAACTGCACTTGACTGCAATTATATTAGTAGATAAAAATGATACTCCGAGTATTCTGGATTAGCTAACAACATCTACGAAAAAAGAAATGTTAAAGGCTCTCGAGTGGCTTTAACCAAAACTTCTATATCTATT